ATTCAGGCAGTAGTTGGATTACCATAGGTCTTACCATAAGGATTTATGTCAACCGTCTTGTTTGTAAAAATGTTTTGCAATTTTCATTTCTAGAGATCTTATTTATGTGTGATCAATGACCAAAAACAAGTTCAGTTGTGCCTCCTTTGAATGAGCTTTATTTTTCTTTATATGTTCTACTCTATAGCTTTGAAAAATACAATTTTAAAATTTTTTATCCTTTTCTTCAAAACATCGTTGTTCATCCGAAAAATTGAAACAACCATTTTAGAAGGCGTCTCAATGTATAACTGTAGTTTTTTTTCTTGTGAAGCGTGAAGTCAGATACAACTGCTGTTCGATCAGGTTTTTTTATATCTGTTTTCTGTGACAAGAAAAGTAGAAACTAGTCTCGCCGAAGGGGCGGTTTTTGGAGTTGTGACTTAAAGTTCCGTATAAAAAAATAGATCCATGCAAAATTAAAAGTTATGTCCAGACAAAAAGTGCGCCGAAGTGCTGGTTTAGTTAAAACCTATGTCAAGTTCTATACGTTGTGTAACAAAAAGATTCTTCGAATTTTTCTAAGCTCTCTCCATGATATTACAACTTCAGAAGAGTTCAACATTTCTAGCTGAAGATTTTATTACAGTAGTTTCTGACTCAAATTCAATATTTCTGGATGTTTCAGTTAAAATAGATAATCAAATTTTAAAATTTCGTTCTGCATGAGGAAAGTTCCTCTTAGATAAAGAAAATGCAAACACAACATTATTTCGTGTGATGATTGTTTCGACTAGATCTGTCGAAAAGAAGACTCGAGTTTACTGATTTTAGACTTGAATACCATAAAACACAGAGCTGGTCAGATAAATTTCCGAAATTGTCAAAAATGAAGTGATTTGTGCAAGTTGCATTAGCTAATAAGAAAGAAGCTTTCATCGGACAGAAAAATTATCTATCAATTCTTTTTGTGTCAATAGAAGTTTTCAGCTAAAAACTCGCTTTTTTCTTCTCTGAAGTCCTGAGAACATGTAAATTTTTATCAAAACAAGAATAAATAGCATGAATTCGAGATCTGCAAGATGGTTGCGGACAATCTTTTTTTATCGAAAATTCGATCATACATTTTGATACTTATTATTTTATTCTAGTTAAAGAGCTCCACATCGCTTATGTCTATTTGCGATTCCAATAATAGTGTTTTTATGATGAAGGTTCTCGTTCCACGAGTCAGAGGTTTTCGACAACTGGTACAAGTTTCAAATATGTGAAACACAATTTACATAAGTTTGACTCGATAATAGTTTAACCATTCCTTTATTTATACATTTTTTTGCTATTTCTGATACGAACTCTCTAGTCTTGGTGTTGTAGTCGCCTACCTTGAAAAAAAGACTTTGATACTTGTGAAGAATAAAAAATAGATGTGAATATTTAGGTTTAGTCTTTTAAATAATTATCTTTCGATTGCCTCTAAAAATAGCAGTTATAATCCTACAGATTCTGAGTTTTGATACATTCAAATGCATTTTTGAAGTAACAACGATTCAAGAGCATTTATTTAGGTTTTGTATGTATTCAAGAATTGAGAGTTCTAAAAGACTTTTTAAAACCAGATGATCAGAATCAGAAAAAAATTCTGACTGGAACAAAAAAACTGGTTTTCTATATCCTTAATTCCGATACATACAAACGAAGGCATGCTCGTACTATGAAAGAGTCAAAAACATTCATGTAGATTTTATATATATTCGAACAGTTATACAGATTATAAAAGAAGTTGTTTGTTTTTAGAAACGAAATGGGATCTATGGGATCGAAACAGGGAAAAAACGATTATAGAGGGCACGAGTCAGTAGTTTCAACTCAGATAAATAAGCTGGTTGACAGTTTCAGAGCATTTACTCTTGAACTAGACGACAAATACAGTTATATGAAATAAAATGAAACTGAAACGAAACTGAAATATACTCATTTCTGACTGATTATAGCGTCATTCTTTTTGCAACGACTACTGAGATTTTACTTGAAAATTAAATTCATCGAGTTGTGTATTTGATTAGATATCAGAGTGTAGCGTAGTTGTTTAGAAGTATTTTTTAATATTAATGTTGTATTTTGGCAAATAGCAACAAGCCCTACCATGGCTACAATTACAAGTACTACAATGACTACCAACACGTACACTACAATAACTACAACAATAGGTAAGTAGCGTACTTATCTCTACCGTCATCCTTCTTGTTTGATGGTAAATTAGAAATAATCGCTGATTCGCTAAACATTCACGAGGCTTTCTTCCAAGACTTCATTTTTTTTTCTATTGATGGTATTCATATTTAAGTGAAGAAAAGTCAGCATAATATTATTCTTTTTTATCATTGTTTTACTTTAGGCTGTCGAGAGAAGGATTCTATTTCGCTGATTTCAGATAAAGATTAAGACCAAAATCGTTTATATTAGTTCTGTTTGGAAAAATAGCTGAAAACTTCTCATTAGCTGAACTGTTTCAATACTTCTTTTAAAAGCAACTTAGTTTCTGTCTGAAACGTCGGCTCTCAAAAATAGAACGAAATTATTCTGTTGTGAGAGTTGTTTCTCATAGAAGAACATTTTTATTTTCGTTTTTGGAAACTGAACTTTCCAAAAGTTGTTTTCGATGAGTTCATTTGAACCCAAGAAGTTGAACTGTCACAGCCTTAAAAAGAATCTCGCGAGACAAGAAATGATCCACATAGCTTGAAAAAAAAATAGTTGAAAACGAACCAATGTGGACGATTTATGTAGACTGATAGAGAAAAAAATTTTCGTTGCACGACAAAATTTACTAGCAGTTTGTTTCCTTATTAACAGAACAGTCTATGTTAAACAATGCTTTAGTGATCGAGTTTTGGGGAAAACGACAATTTGGATATTTTTAAAATGGTTTAAATCAAAGTTTATTCTCTTACAAAAACATTCAAAAGTATTTTAGAATATAATACTGCTCAAGACAGTCACGATACACAGACCAGCATAAAAGAAAAAGTGAATACGGTTATAGTCTGACTAAGATGGAAAGTTATAACAGTCTTAATCTGTACAATGCTCAAAACATATATATACATGTATATATATTGTTCGTAGTCAAAGAATAAAAGACTTTCAATTCGAAAAAAAGACGAGTCTTACTTATCTTGTTGCAATTAAACATAGTTTCCAACAGAGACCGAATCGAACCGTGTTTTCTATCGAATTCGGTTCGATTCGACTTTAAAAAATTAGTTCAAGTGCGGTTCGATTCGAGTAGCATTAGTTCCACCTGACCAAGAGTAGATCATAAGTCAAAACTTATTTCTAGGACGATGAGAGGTGTCATATTAGAGTTGATATTTGTATGAATTAATACTAATTCATACATTTGTGAATTGAAATAAATTTTTCACATTAATATATGAGAATCGGCAGTTTTTTAGCGTTGATATTAATCTCGCACCACTATCCACAATTATTCATCATACTTTAGAAAAAAGGGCGAAATTCATGAAAGAAAAGAAGACAAGAATTATGTCGCATAGAAGTAACCCATCATCATAAACACAATTAGTGCAACTCTTATGAAGACAAAAAAAAGACTGACATGCACGGAGATTAAATTAAGCATGTAAAACGATCAATAAAAGTTCGTTTTATCTTCACTAATGGCGTCATATTTTTTCACATTGATGACGTTCCATCAATCATTTGTTATTTAAAGTTAGACTGCGTTCCACTATCTCTCAAAAAGTTAGCTTGAGTTCGGGTCATTTTCGATCTCTAATATGCGTATTAAAAAATATCTCTAAAATGAAGTAAACAAAAATACAGAGCAAAGTTTCTTGTTGAGGCTGAATTAGCAACGCTCGATGTTTTATCTGTTCTCACAGATAGCGTTTTGACGAAACGAGAAATCTTAAGAATCGATTTTTCATAAGAATCAAAAATCGCATAGAAATAACATATTTTGACGATATGCCTCTTATGATAGGGATGAAGCGATCAATGTGTTATATGTTCTCTAACAGTTAATGTTTACTGACAGACAAATCAATTAGATCTTTAGGAAATTTTTGTCAATTCGCTACAAAATCGATTTGTCTTATTTTTGGCGTTTTCTTTTATATGAAGAGTATTTGATGATGTTCGAAAGGTTTTCAATTGGAACTATAAGCACTTGGGTTCATATAAATATCAACTGAACCTTTTTCTGAGACTTATACATAGTGGAAGGTTCATTAGCTGGTAAATATTCCAAGCAGTGTATGACATGTTGATTTATAAGAAGTGAAAGACTTTTAGAGTCATGGCGAGCGAAGATTTGTTGATGGTTGGGTTTGAAAGATCGATCTCTTCAAAAAAAAACATTGTTGATGTAGATCAATGTTCAACTTAATGTGATACTTACGTGTGCAGATGTATCAACATACTACCCGAGTCGAACTTTTCTTGCGCTTGACATGCGCAGACCTCAAGATTTGTCCATAGCACATGACTTTCTAGTTCAAGAAGCTCAAGAAAACTCCGCGCATTAGAACAGAAATTTCATTAAAATCGTGACTATGGACCGTAGATAGATTTTCGCAAGTCGAATATTTCTTCAGACTTTGAATTTTCCAAAGTGAACTGTTATAAGTCCTTCTTGTTGGTAATCACCGTCAGTTATTTTGACGAACGCGTGTATTCATAAACATGCTTTCTCAGCCAATCAGACGTGTAATTAAAAGTATACAGGGCTCAGAAGTACAACATATACGAGGTCTCTCTTTATATTGGGTATCGAAATGAAGAAATGTAACGGACTACTTCATCATTACAAACAATCAGCTTATAGGGGATATGTGAGTCTAAAATCTTGACATCACCAAAATTAAAATTTGTATGTTAGAGATGTGGGTGTGTGTGTTGATCTTGTCTTCATCCACACCCAGTAATTTATCATTTCTCTTCGTTCAGTAAAGAATTTCAGTGGAGATAAACTTGTAGAGAACCCATAACTTTGTTGAATGGATAGTCCCCAAAGACAAGGTATTGAAACAAAATTGCATGCAACGTGTCTCTCAAAAAGAAGAAATTAATAGATGAAAACAAAGATGTGTGTGCTGACAATGAGATGAATGAAGAAATAGATGAACAATCCAGTGGTAGACTATTTCGATGAAGCAAAAGAAAAGAAAATGCAACAATATTTCTAAATTTTGATAGTTATTCTTCGTCCACCCTCACTTTCAAATTCCAAGGATTCCAGCAAGTCCATATATTCCGATTCCGTAGAATTCAGATACATGTCTCACTCCTATTCGTTAGCTCTTCCGGACACAATCACCTTTTTTCTAAAACTTTGTTCTCTCTCTCTCTCTCTTCTTTATGTCTTCTGTCTCTTATTGTGACACTTATTTATCTCTATATTAAGTACCACTACGAGCACCTGCTATTGACATTCATTCAAATGCAAAATGGATACAGAATGGTCTCACTGTGGCTGGAGGAAATGGATCAGGCAATGCAATCAATCAACTCTCTTACCCATACGGTTTATATGTCGATGATGATCAAACTATTTATATCGCTGATACATCAAATCACCGTATTATGGAATGGAAATATGGAGCAACGAGTGGTCAAGTGGTTGTTGGTGGAAATGGGCAAGGGAATGGAGCTAATCAGTTGGACACGCCCGTTGATGTGATTGTCGACAAAGAAAGAGATAGTCTCATCATTTGCGATTACGGGAATAGTAGAGTAGTTCGATGGCCTCGTCGAAATGATACTAGTGGAGAAACAATCATCTCGAACATCTCTTGCATGGGTTTGACAATGGATGAGAATGGATCTCTCTATGTCGTTGACACGGGCAAACATGAAGTGAGACGATACCGAATTAATGATACTGAAGGAATAGTGGTTGCAGGCGGCAATGGATATGGAAATCGTCCAGATCAGCTCTCTAATCCGTCCTATGCATTTGTCGATCGAGATCATTCTGTGTACGTGTCTGATAAGCTAAATAATCGTGTGATGCAATGGAAAGATGGTGCAAAAGAAGGCACTGTTGTAGTCGGTGCTCAAGGGGAACGAAATAGTCTTTCACAATTGTATTATCCTGAAGGGGTTGTTGTCGATCAATTAGGCACTGTCTATGTGATTGATGGTTGGAATTATCGAATCATGCGTTGGCCAAAAGGAGCTACACAGGGAAGTGTCATTGCTGGTGACAATGAGAGAGGAGGAGAGTCAAATCAATTCTACTATCCCATTGGTTTATCATTCGATCTACATGGCAATCTCTATGTCGCCGATCAGTGGAATCATCGAGTACAAAAATTTAATATCGAACAGACAACAAATTAATGATATTTAATTATTTGTTGTGTGGTTGAAAATGATTTTTATCGAATAAAAAAAGAATATTCATGATCAATCAATAAGTATATTAGATATTCGCGCGCGGCCAGAAAAGTGTTTCTGGTAGTGGCGATCGCCTGGTCATACGCGAACAGGGGAAATTCACATGCATACGTACTCATAAATGAATACCGTGTGAACTCGATGACCCCGTCTTGTTACCACTGTCACCAGTTGGACTTTCTGATTGAAGATACACAAAGTCCTCGCAACAAGACTACTACATTAGACGACGACTACACCCAAAGAGTAGAGAATCAAGAGAGAGAATGATGTCCTTCGTTCTCTTCGAATACTCATATGAGCATGATTCATGGCCAATGAAGCATTACCACGAGATCATTCGAATGAAATGAAGGACATGGAACAGAAGATAGGAAAGAAGGCTACTTCCTTGGTGCTTGCTTGCTACCCGGAAGCATTGTCGACACATGAATGATCGCTCTTGTCTATGTTCACCCTATTTATACTAGTACATAACGCCATTGCATCATCCTCTTACATCATGTTATTGCATCATCTTCGTTCTTCTTTTTTTTTCTCGATTTTCAAAGAAAAAATCTCGACAATTTTCAATTCTCCTCTATTTGTTCATGCTCGGTTTGCTGTAGAAAATCTGAAGGCTTTGTTCTTCCGATCGGGAAAGATCACCTTTTCATAAGTCTAGTCGCAGGATTTCAATTTTAATCATTTTGACGTATCAAATCCAGAAAAATTCCTACGAAGAAACATAAAAATCTTTTCCTAAGTACAAATAATAGAGAATATCAGCACAAATCAATGCATATTCTAATATTTGCCTGTCCATGTTAGATTACAGACTTGTCTTATCAAACGAAGAAATTGAAGCATGAAAAGAGAAACGCTACGTAATGGTTATTCTCGAAGTTGAATAAAGGCTGATTGTTTTGTTTCAGTCGAAAGTAATAACATTGAGCAGTGTTAATGAAGATTGTCTGTATAAGTAAAATCTTCAATGACACCTATCATCTGAAAAAAAAACAATGAATTAAGTGTGAAAGTCATTCTATTGCATCAGTATTGTAGTTGCTGTTGAAATGACAATTATTCGAAAGAGACCGCTTTTTTTCCATATCTTGTGCACCTTATGATCATGATTCTTAATATATTATTGTTACATATTGTTGAAAGTTTGCATTTCCAGCTGCTGGATCACTCAGGTCGATCATTCCGATCATCGGGAACGGCGCCTTATCTGGCCTGAAACGGCTATAAAACGACAAATAATAGTATTAATTTGGACCTTAGTTCGCAGTAAACCGTCATGCCATTTACAAGATGTTTTTATTGCTTGAAAACAGCCATCACTTTTCCCCAGTTTCGCTTCCATAATCTAATATGATGGATTACGGCGCCGTTTTCTTGGACCTGGGTACGTTCTCTCAATTTCTATTCGCTTCAAATTAAAAGCTTTAAGTTCTCTAATAGGGTGGGTGTGGGATGTCGGTGTGCACTGGAAAAAAGAGTAGTATATGGAACTAAAAAAGGGTTTCGAGATTTGAAACAAATTCTAAACCTTTTTTAGTTTCGTACGAATAAGGATTCGTACAAAGCTATTTTGTAAATCTGAGAAAAAGGGTTTCGTACTTGACGTTTCGTATGTATCTATTTTCTATAGCGGAAAAAGCAGTTTCGTAATCGACGCTTTTTGCAATATCGCCCTGCATTTTCAGGAAGATTTCATTTAATACTGTCTTCTAATCAAAAAACACTATTTAAAAGAGAATCAATAATCAGTTCTAAATTAATTTATTGAAAGGCCAGTTCTTCGTAATATAGTCCTCAAAAGGGCTATGTAGATCTAATAAATCTTCTTATGAGTCTAATATGGGAATACATTACTGTTAATTTATAGATATGGTATCATTCATTATCATTGCCTGATGATCCTTTCGTACGGCACAAAAATGTCATCTCTTCTCTTTTTTTCTCTGTACTAGAACATAATTTAAATCTTTTAGATTATCCTCAAGGATGAAACTCATGTTGCGACCAAGTAAATAAAAGAGGATAGAATTAATTTGCCTTACAATAATTTTGTTACTACTTAAATAATTCTTTGGATCGACTTGAATATGCAATAAAAGAATACATTTATATTAAAATAATAATTTATCTATAAAATCCATTCGTCTGATCAATCTAAATGTACGAGAAAAGATTTAATAGATACTATAATAATGATTTACTCATAAATTTATCCTTTTGCTATTCTAAATATCCAAAAATAGAATTAATTCATATTTTGATACTATATTTACTCACAAGATTATTCTTCTGATCTCCTAAATACATACGAACAGACTTGATACATAATAAGATGATTATGTATATAATTATTATATTCATTTATTTGATCGACCTAAATATAAAAGCATAGAATTAGTGTCTATCAAAATGATTCCTTACTGGTCAAATGATTCTTCTGATCAACCTAAATATAAAAGAATAAAATTCAGTAATATTAAAACATTAACCTACACATAGAATCATTTTTCGGGTCATCCTGAATACCAAAGAATAGAATTCATTGATAATAGAATATTACCTTGCCTATCAATCCATTATTTGAATCAATCTAAATATAACAGGAAAGAATTTGTTTACTTTGAACTAAAAACATCACTGCTCGAACTGTTCTACTAATTAGCCTAAACACAAAGGAACAGAATTAATTCATATTAAAATAATAACTTATAAAATTATTCTTTGGGTCAACCTAAATACACAAGAATAGGATTGGTTTATATTAAAATAATAACTTACACATCAGATCGCTTTTTTGCATCATCGTAACTATAAAAGAATAGACTTGACTTATAATAAAATGATCACTTACCTATAATTCCATTCCTCTGATCAACCTCAATACAAAGAATAAAACTAATTCATATTAAAATTATTTATCTCATCAACCTAAATGAAAAGTATAGATTCATTTGTATTCAAATAATAACTTACCTATAAAATGTATTCATCTACTTAGTCTCAATGTACAAGGAAAGAATGAGTTTATATATTGGTAACTTACGTCCGAATTAAATTACTCTTCGGATAATCCTAAATATATAAAAATAGAATTACTCCATATTAAAGTTATTTTTTTACACACAAATCATATTTTCTGATCAACCCAAATATAAAACTATATAAGTGTTTTTGAAAAAATACTTAGTGTTAAGTTTGCTGTTGATTTAAAGATTTAATGTATGAAATGTTATTTGAATATTCCAGAATGTTCGAAAATACTAATGAGAATTTTTTTCCCGGCGATAGTCCTAAGCTTTTTGTCGAAAAACTGAAGGAATTTGCTCAGATCTACTTTATTTCGCAAAAAAAAGGAACACGGAAACGCACGATAAAAGTGAAAAAAAGACCAATATAATGAAAACATAGGAGAAGATATTTGTCGGAAAAATTTCTACTTGATTTGACATACGTAAAATAAATATGATTAATCAAAAAAAGTTTGGGTGTTCATATAAATAAATAAAAAAGATCAAGATTATTCACAGTTAATTAGTCTTTTTAAGCCGTGAACGCTTTAAACGTAATGCAATTGGTTCTGCGGAACTAACAGAACGTTTTCTTATTGCAGATATTTTTCTCTTTGAAATGATTGATGATCGATTAGTTGATTTCGATGATACTTCATGTTTGATATTGACCGTACATACTGTGTTTTCCTTCAAAAGTAGTGAAGATGATGCTGTTACGTCTTGTTCCTCTGGTGGTGAAGTATGAATTACTAGTGGAGGATCAATTGGTGATGATTGAAGTGAACAATTGTGATGTTTCTGTTGAAGTATATTTTATAGAGTTCTTGTCTCCAACACATGTAGTTGTTGTTATTGGAATCTCATTATGACCTATCAATGTAAATATAGCCAAGTGGTTTTGTTCTTTATTTATTGGACGTAAATCAGCTGATTTTTCAGGTAAATCTTCATGTTCTTCAATATAAGATAAATCAATATGTTGAATATCTTCGACATGTATCAAATTTTCCGCAGTATTTGTAAATGTATAATTGTTTGTTGATGTCGTTGTCATTATTTGAGTATTTTCTTTATTTTCTTTTTTATCAATAATAAGGGTGTAGATGTGGATGTGTTGGTCTTGCCTTCAACTACGCCCACACTCACATTCATCCACTCACACCCAAAATCTCATCATTCGACGAACCAAAATTTAACGGCCTGAAAATCCAAATTAGGATGTCGAAAATGTTTGTCACGGCCTATGGGGCAGGTGGGAGAGAAAATTCACTTTTGTCACTATATACTTCAACACTAATTACTGATCATGCTTCACCAAAGCCGGAGAATGGAGACTTAATGCATCAAGCCAAACGAGAAAGATTAGCAGAGATCGAGAGAAAATAACCTTGAGACAAGAGGAGAAATATATCGAGAAGATGTAGCAAGAATCTGTTGGATCTCTAACTTCTATGTTCTTTTGCTCTATTCCAATGAGAAAATCGCGCAGTGTCTCCGACTCTAAGACACTTTGTGGATGAATTTAGGACTTTTTTTTTACTTTCCTCATAAAATTCTTTTAGATGGAGAGATTCAATTCAGATTCGAATTTATCGTTGAAAATATCAAGTGATGAATTTTTATCTTGTTTCTTATTATCAAACTAGATCGATCTCGAGATAAATAAAACAAATATCTTGATCAGTTCGAACGAAGAAATATTTCATTTATCGATCAGACGTTATTTTCATCTCATTTTATTGAATTTGAATAGAAAACTGTGCGACGTTTCTCATAAGTCGGAAATTCACGCTCATACTGTGTTATAAAACACATTGTTTTTATAAGATTTTGTTCGGGCAAATGGACGGGGTATGACTCATACATGCAATTATATGACGAAAGAAAGTAAACTGGTGAATTGCGCAAGCAACTCGTCATTGAAAAGAAAGAAAAGAAACATATGGTGGGAAGGAAGACTGTCAATCTGCAGAGAGTAACGATTGTAAGTTATTTCAAATGATCAAAACTGTTACATGTAAAAATATGACGTTGCATTAATGTGAACAATCTATTCTAGATTCGGCTGATTCACAGATTTTATTTTTGATAATGCTATCAAACAAACGAAGCTCACAAGGATCAAGTGAAGCGAGTGTCGATTCATCGAACATGTGCACATCGGCAGTTAAAAAAGCCAAACATCAATGCTTCTATGTACCGAACTCGGATCTATCGTCTATCTATGTACCATTAGAATCCTTAACCGAGCCAACTGTTCGTTCCGTTCTTTACACGGCACTTAATAATAGAATTTCATCGGCTCGGAATCATTCTAGACGTACACTCCTTGCTTTCTTGCTTGCAATTAACAAAAGACTTCAAGCGATCGAACAAAATAAAGATAAAAATGATGACAATACTAATCTACGTGTCAAAAATATTCGTCAGTGGCTCTTATATCATAATAGTTCTGGTAATACTGTTAAAATCGATTGGACTGAACTTCAAAGAACATATCAAGCTATGATGGCAAATTTACAAACCAGTTCGATGTCATCATATCGTGGTGGCAATATGGAAGAGCCCTATTTTGAGTTAAAAATCAAAACGGTAAGTTATTCAATTGATAGAAAAAAAGAATGCGAAGTCATTCTTGGGAAATTTCTTTCAAATTGAACCAGATGTAACTTGGTGATCAAACAATAATATAAAGCATTTTCTCTCAGAATTACTGCAAGACGAAAAAGCTCATTGGTTCGAAATATGCGACTTTTTCTAAAGCATCAATCGACGTATTCGACTATATTCATAGAATGAACTGACAGAAATGTTTTCGTTATGAACGAGAATGTGTCGCCCGAAATTGAATATAATCCAGTTTAGGAGATTAGGAATACCGACTAATCGATCAGTGTCCGAAAGAAAAATATGATTCCTAGTATTCCATACTTTCGATACTCTCAAAGATTTTCTCGGATAATTTGTCGCCAAAAATCTTTGACTGATATTGATAGTCGATTTGCTTCCTAGATTGTTATATCTGAAACATTTCGAATCCGAATGTTGAAATCGTGAATAATCACCAGTGACAATGTTGAAACACGGATAAAACAGACAGAAAGATTAACATCATTCCGATTAAATTCAGTGCACGTAGCTGTTTCTTCTGCTTCTTCTATGACGATACTGAATGAACTTAGCAAGATTCCATCGAAGAGACGCAACTTTAATTTGTGTAGGTAATGTCAATTTAGAGATATTCCAATGTCGAACAATCTCGGGTGTACATGAATCACTTGCGCAAAGATGGTTTTCAACCTCATGAACTGAAGGTCTACTGGAACGTCGAACAACTCGAAATGCTTTGCAGAGAAAATTCAATGGCATCCTATGATGCATCGGATGCTGATACCATCGACGGTCTTCTTCAGTTTCCCGTTTCGAAACGAAATCATGCTGGCAAAATGACCTACGTCAACAGAAGTATTCAGTACGCCGTTTTTGACGTTCCTGATCATGCTCAAATAATTGTTCTCAATTTTGCCGTAAGCAGTTTCATTCTTCGTTTATTCTTGTAAACCATCGTTATCGATTTTAGAATGAATAATCTCCAGGCGGCGGCTACTTGGATCATGCAAGTGAGTATTGATTTGTTCGACAAGCAAACCATGCCTTTCTAAACAACTTTCTACCTCTATCTTGCCAGTGTAAACGAGAAATGTACAGATGAGATTGATTTCACTCCCAAATTAGATGAATCATCTCAATTCAATATTAATTTTCGTCTTCGTCCCATTATGATCCGTTTATCTGTCTCGCTTTAGGAGCGCAAGAAGAAGTCATACTCTACAATTCTGACGGATATCGAGCATTACTTGATCTTAAATATGGACGAATGGGCGGTGGTTATGCCATACCCGAATTCGGACTAGCCTATGTACGTGATATACGTTTCTTTTGTGAAGATACTGACGAATGCCGTCTGGCTGATATGATGGTTTCTGCATGCTACTGTATGACATCAGCTGAACTTTATCCAAATCCGAGAACAACGGACGAGGTAAATGCATCAAGTTTCTTTGACTATTATTTTAGCATCAGAAATCCTATAAACTGTTGAACTGTGGAGAGCAGACGATCAATGTGTTGTTTGAGCCTTGTAAATGTTTCACTAGTAAAAATGAGTTGCTTCGCTTTCGTTCAGAAACAAAAAGAAAATAATATGATCGATTGTCCCCGCCATCTTAAATGATTGATCTTCACTCTTTCATTTGAATGAAAATGGGTTTGTAGCACGGTCTTTAAAAAAACAAATGATAATTCATAAAACCAATAGAAAAAAATATTGATTCAATTTAGTGGAAACAAGAAACTTTGGCTAAATTTCGAGCATTCGTGGCAGCAGCCGTGGCGAATACGAGAGGTGATGGCTCCAATACTTATCTTTTACTTGGACCAATCGGCACTGGTGCGTTCGGAAATGATGTTGAGGATATTGCATTTGTCTTTCGTGATGTACTCAGTATGAAAATGATGGGCTCGGAAGGATCGATTCGTCAATCTTTCGGCAATATTTGGTTCGTATCGCTCCATGGATGGAAAAATGATATATTCAAGGAGATATATTATCTCAGAGAGAATAATCGGAAACTAAATCAAATTCGACTGAATCTTAGTTGTTTACATGTCAATTTTAAAAATGACAGAACATAAACTTGTGACAAAGTGTTTATCCTAGACCGTCTTGAAATAAATTAACTGGGTGAAACTAAGCTAAATAGTCCAAATACAAATATGAAGAATGCTTTGATTGTGACCGTCAGTCTCATCGAGATGACACTTTCTGTAATAAGCAATTGTTTTAAAGTTTGAACTGAGGGAGAGAAAGCTACCATAATACTAAATAGTATTTCACTTTTACTGATAAAGATATTCAAGTGATAAGTAATTGTATTAAAGGATTTATTTTTGAAAGAAAAAGAAGTAAATTTATACATAATATTATATATCTACTGAGTACCAAACTTTTATATTGTGAACCTTCAACATAAAAAACACTTGTGTCTCTGAATCACTTTCCAGTAAATGCAAAAAAAAACGATTCTTATTTTGAAACGAAACAAGAAAAAATATTGAATTTCATTTCTGTTCTACGTTTACTTTACACGAAACATCATCTTGTCCTTTATTAAATACATCAAAACGAATTGTGAGTGAAGTAAAAAAAACACCGAGATGATGTTAGAATTATTACCTAACGAAATTTTACTTGATTTACTCGATTATTTGGAGAGTGTTGATCTTCTTCGTGCATTTTATGGTCTAAATTCTCGATTCATGGTGTAGGTGTGAGTGTGGATGTGGATGAATGATTGTCTCTTATGAACACTCAAATGCAGATCCAGACCCACACCCCACATCCACATCCACGCCCACACTCCCACACCCACACTTCATGTGACTTTTGGTTATTCGATTTAATCAAAAAAAATTTGAGCGATCAAAACAATTACGAACCATTGTATCGTGCTATAACCAAGTTCATGAATTCTTTAAATAAGAAAGAGTATAAGAAAACCTTCGATAAATGGATTCAGTGAATACAATTGTGTGTGGATAATGAAGGTGATTATTTCGAACACTTGATGAAATAAAAATATGTTGAATTTGCTTTTGTATTTCTTTTTTATTCTATTACCAGTACTTTTGTATTATTTTATATATGTAAAAAAATGGTCATTAAGAGATAAAAAAAAAGAAAAGATAGGAAAAGAAAAAAAGAATTGATCTAGACGAGAATACACATAGAAGACAATATGGACTTATGTCATCATTACATATTATAAGTGAACAAGTCTAATCAAAATTTTATTATTATTATTATTTTGGATGAATAATGATCAAATAGCGTAGAAATGTAGAGCTTTGTTTTTAACTATCAGTCTATATAAAAAGAAAATTTCCTCAAGCCGTCTATACGAAATTAACATAGGACCACCACTACTTTTGGTATGTCCTAAGTATAATAGTATCTATTTATCACTTGTCTTACTGATTAACAGCGCAAAAAATACTGATCTTTCGTCTCATATATAATATCATAGAACGAAAGCAAAGTTCTTTTTTTTCTCAGTAGTGTACAGAATAATACTCTTTTCTTGTTCTTACCGCAACTGTTGTGTATATAAACGTTGCGTTTTATACATGAGAGAACCATAATTTATTCTGTTGCTTTTTATATAGCTAGTTACACAAAATAAATATACGTACAATATTTCTGTATACAATATGCCATTAAAACAAAAACACTACGTCCATTCAGCTCATATTTACAATCGTACGTCTCACCCGATTAACCTTAATTTTTACTGAAATATTTTATATTTGTTTATTCGATGTACAAGATCCAGATACCATTGAACCAGCAAGCACATATATTAATTATGATTGCAGCACTAAACAAGACCTTGTTGGTATTCGTTTTCAGACCTCAACTTGAACAATTAATTTGCCATTAATGGTTATTGGCAATGGTATTTGCAAGAAGAAGAAATACAACGATTAAAAAGTCAATCATTGAATCAACAGTATGTGATGTAAAAATTGCAAGAATCGATTTTATTAATTCCACCTAATGGGTTGCATATTCCGTCAAGCGAATCATTTTGATCTATGATCACATAAGCAAATGACTTTTGTATCCGAAAAACAAGATATTATACTTATCATTAAAACTTATTTGAGGATGTGGGTGGAGACAGTGAAGAACAACACTCATATCCAACGTCTTTTAACATTCAAATACTTATAAATAATCGTCGATCAGGAAATGACTTCTATATTTGCACATAGAGCTCGACAATATCCAAATGTTAAGTGACCTCTTTCTCTGTTTGATAGAAGTTGATTCATTCATCTCATCTACTCTCCTTGTATTTTTAGGAAAAAACCAGTTATTCTAATTACAGAGAAAATGACATTCTCTTTTTGATGCATACTGTGTTTTCTATGAATGTAATGAAACAAATAGATAATTGATCGTATCAGTTTAATTTAATATTGAGAAGTAACATTTATTAACAATCTTTTCAACTCACAAAGCTAATACCTGTCGAGTTGACCGTAGATTCAGACCTGATTGGGTTTCATACATACTTTAAAAGTAATAGCCAATTATGAGTAGGAAATTAACTTTTTCCAATAGATAAATTATAATTTTCATATGTGCTCTATAAAACATATATACATATATGTTATCATGCAAAGACTAAATTAAAATTCATATTTAATTTGAAATTTATTTGATTAATTCGTTTTGCTCTGACGAAACAAACAATTATAAACACTGTATCGCATTCATATAAGAGAACAAAAAAAAAATCAATACAATATTTTTGTATTTTATAGAAGTTCGATCAAAATTTTAATGATGCCACTGATGTTTGTAGATTTATAAACGAATATGTGACTAGATGCGAACAGAAAAAGGAAGGAACAACGACGATAAAATGCATGGAAAAAATAGAGCACCAACATTATACATATAGATCTTCTATATACAAATGTTTATACAAAGAATTTATATCTATATATGTATAATGAACATTCTCTTTAGTTATATTGTAGATTGACATTCGTTGACAATTTCTTTTTGTTTTGAGAAGATTATTCATTATTACACTGTTTCATTGAGCTAAAAGAAAACAAAATCAAATATTAATTCGATTGATAAGAAATTGATATAAATAGAAGAAGCATTAGTAGTTAAAGCAAATCTATTGTTTGCCTACATATAGCCTGTCTTAATACAGAATCATGATCAGTAAATAATTGACGAGAAGTTGAAATTGATTTCTTATACTATTTAAAATTTTCATAAAAATGTAAAATATTTCTTGTCTATTTAAATACCTTGGTTGATGAGGAATGACTATTAGTATATCCATTTGTTTTATCAGAATGATGGTCACCATTCATCATAGGTGTTGTTTGATGATCACTATTGAAGAAGAAAAAAAAGAACAAAAAATTGATAAATATCCAGTTTTCTAATTAACGACAGAGATGAACGAATAAAATCACAATCTATTCACGAATAGATCAAGAAAATCTAAACTCAATCATATTAGAATTCTTTTTAATGTTCATCAGATTCCATATGATCGATTTTCGGCTTAGTAATCATTTATTTCAACTTCATTTTTTGGCAAAGTGAAAATGATTTTTTTTTCATACAATAAGTCTTAGAGGGGGGTCCACTATCCATTTCAAATAGTTATTCATTTTAACATGTTTCGATAAGTTCACCAAAGAAATAATTTTTGCAATGTTCAATTTAATTCTTAAACAAACATTCTATTATTTCAACTTTGACAAAAAGAAACATATTTAAGACGAAAAAAACAAAAAACAAATCTTAAATAACTTACGAATTCGTTGTTTCATGTTTGCTATCAAGTCGAAAAACACGTAATAGAACACATACAGTAATAATAGCAACAGCTGAAAAAATAATAGCTATTATGATACCAACAATAATCCATTTATTTGGTTTAGTTTTTCGATCATCTGTTAGTAATGAATTTTTTCGTAATGTGTTATATTCTAAAGAAAATAGAAATATTTTTTTTTTAATGATTATATAACTACACAAACGATTATTCAATATGAAAACTTAATTGACAAGATTAAATTATCAAAATTTGTCTCTCTTTAAATATGAAAAAAATATTTCATTGTTATATATATATTTTTTTTCTTACCATTAGTTTCTTCTTTTGTTTTTATATGTAACTTTTGTTCAGCTACACCAACGTCATTATATAATTTAATTATAACAATATAATTTGTATCTGGTTTTAAACCCGATAATTCATATTCAGTTATTGATGAATCAATTAATATTGGTGTACTTAATGGTCCTTCAATATCTAGACCATTATCATCTTTCGCCTTAAACAAAAACGATAAAGTATAATATGTTTGAATAAGTTAAAAATGAATGTCTATCTCTTTAAGAAAAACTCAACCATTGGTAAGGGGGTGAAGGAGCTCAAAATCTCTTGCTGAGACTGAGCCCCCCTGTGGTTCTTGTCTGATAATGTCGCTATTATAAATAAACTCTTACTTGTGCATAAAGTATTTCCGTTCGAACAATGGGTGCTCCACCATCTGATTCAATATTCCATGTAATTAAACAACTTTCATCACTTAAACAAGTTCTATTGATATGTTCATCTACTGTAAAATCTGGTATTTGTCTATCAAGTGTTCGAAATTGTATCGGTCCTGTTTGTTGACCAATACCAGCTCGTGATTCAGCAACAACCATTAATTGATAATTTGTACTTGGTCGAAGCTTTTCAATTTTTATTATTTGTTTAGTAGATTTTTGTGCTAAAAAGAAAACGAAAATAATAATAGAAATTCTTTTTTCACAAAGATCAATTACCTGGAATAATTAAAGTTTGTAATTGACTATCTTTTGTATCTTGTAAATCATACTTAAGTATATATTGTAGAACAGGAAGATCATCAGTATCAAATGTTTGTATAAAAATTTCTACACCATTTGATAATGGTTTAACATGAGTTATATTAACTTTTTTTGGTGGTTGTGCACGTTGAAGTGTAAATGAATGTCGACCAATACGTGGATTTAATGCTCGACATTCAAAACTTAGACCAAAATCATTTTCTGCTGGAGTATACTAGATAGAAAATTTTACACTTTTTTATAGTATTTAAAAATAAATAAATAAATATTTACTGAGAGAACACTTTCATAAAGTGTTGTTCCAATGTGTTTTGTTGTTATATCATTAACACCATTATCAATACCAACAGCAAGTATTCGTCCTTGAGGATCTTGTATTGTTCGACTCATTTTAATCCATTGAATATGTGGTGATGGATATGATTCAAATTGACAACGTATTATTGTACGATAATTTGGAATTGTTGTAATAATATTAGTATTTGGTCCAACATAAACTGGTTGAACTATAGAACAAAAAAAACAAAAACTACGATAAAATTATTTATTACTAATAAATAATTGACTTACATTGAATAAAAAGACTTGCTATTGAATAAGTACTATCTGCAAGATTTTTTGCAACACATGAATAATTTCCAAAATGTTCACGACGTACAGGATCAAAACGTAATTCAATTAATTTATGTGTTTCATATTGTGTTCTATCAATAAATATTCCATTTGTTGATTGTATTAATGTATGATTTAAATATTGCCATTCTAATGAAAGACTATCAGTTGAACCACGTTCAATTCGACATTGAAATGTAACACGTTGTGGATGTTGACTATCAAAATTTATTTCAATCGGTGAAATTAATGATAAACGAGGTGGAACTATTAAAATAAAAGATATATTTTGTATTTTAATAGAAATAAACAAAAATTAATTTCAAATAAATATTTACCGATTACATTTAAATTATATTCAGCTCGTTGTCCTTTTCGATCAAATTCATTAAAAGCTTGACATGAATATTTTCCATTATCAGTTTCATCAACATAATTTATCGTTAATTGATTACTACGAACAACAAATTTGGGTACTTCACTTGCACCAACAGGTGAATCCTAATTAAAGAAATAATTCAAAGATTTTTCTTTTCTATATATTATATTCATTGGAAATCAGTTTATATTAAATACACGTGCATTAAGATCAAACACACGCACACAAACAAAGATAAAGCAATGTTTCATGTTACTAAGAAAATCGTTTTGTTTTAGTCATTTGATTTATATCTATTTTCAGTTCGTTTCATCACTCACACGGCGTTTTGTATCTGCTCGGAATATTTCCGACATTAACTGATTAAGTATCATAGTCAAATTTACAGGAATCAATTTTGTTTCATCTCCCTGAATATATGAATTTTTTCGTTTCTCATCCGTTATACAAAAAATAAAAAAATATTAGTTTTCAAAAAAAAACACGAAACACACTATTTTACCGCAATAGTCAATACATTGATCTGAACAAACAAACAAAAAAGACATTCATGCATATGACAATTACTCATTAAAAAAAAACAACTCATGCTTCTCTTTCCTCTTCTTACTTTAACTGGCCTTAACTCTTCTGCCTAGAGGTTTATAAATATTTTGTGTCTTATTTCGTCAAAAAAAAAATAAAATAAAACTACGATTATAATCATACCGATCCATAAAACCATAAGTATTTTGGTGTTGGTAAACCAGATGCTTCACAAGTTAATGTTGCTGTTTTCTTTTCAATAGCACATGGATTTCCACAAGTAATACGTGTTTGACTAATCGGTTCTAAATAACATCAAATTTAATAAATTTTAACAATCTATTTCGAACATACTTGATACAATAACAGATATTGAAAAATCTCGTGATTCGCCTGTTTCAAGAACATCAGCACGACACCAATATATATCATTATCTGACATTTCAACATGTTTTATATGTAAACCATCATGAACTAATTCATAATTTGGATTTTCTATCCAATAGAAATAAATTATAAAATAATCAAGACAAAAAAAGAAAAAACTTGTCATAACAAACCTATTCGAATTTTATCTTGACCTTTAAACCATGAAACTTCGGCTGTTGGATTTGCTTGAACAGAGCATTTGATAATAACAGATTCACCAAGTTCTACATATTGAATAGAATCACTATGAAAAGTAATTGGAACTAAAGAAAAAACAAAGAAAAAAAGAAAATATGATCTTCTTGTATCAAAAATTCTTGAATAGAATAAACCTTTAATAATCATTTGGAATGATTTTTGTATTTGTTGACCATTTGCATTTGTACCAATACATTCCCATGTACCTATTTATTAATAAAAATAATTATATTTATGGTTATGTCTTAGCAATCATGGGAAGGGAGCATGAGCCAATTGATTATCCTTAGAAAATAACTGTAGTCTGCTAGAGAATTCTCATTTTGCATATTTCATATCAGTATAATGAGGATTAAGAATATATGTAAGTTTCATATTTAAGTCCTGAAGAGACTGCATTGATAAGTTTTGTTTTCTTTTTTTTACTAAAAATACCTTGATCATCAGTTGTTAAATTTCGAATTCGTAATCGAATTCCATTTGTGTGTCGTTCAACAGTAACACTAAAAGAAAAAAGATTAAATTCCTTTTTCTTTTATTTGATTGAATTTTCTACCGATCATTTAGATTCTCAGGTATATCTCTCTGTTGTGGTGATCGCCAACGAAAAACTCGACTATCCAATTGATCAGTACATAATGCAATAAATGATTTATATTGATCTCTTGTTAATGAACTTTGACTTGGTTTAATAACCAATTCACCAGAAATTTGTAAAAGAACTGTACAAAAAAAAAAACAAAAGAAATTCGATGCATCAGTCTTTGTATTTATTGCTAAAAGATTTC